GGGGGGGGGCGTGGGCGGCGGCGGGCTGTCCTTGCGGTCCGGGAGGACGACGGCTCAGCTAATTTGCATTTTACTCGGTTGCAGGTGGGGCGCAATGCGAATCCGGGCTGCCCCGCGAACACCATGGCTCCTCCTCGCTGCCGGTAAGTCCACAGCACACCCAGCCCGTCAGACCGAGGGAAACACTACATTTCCTGATTTATTTAAAATGGTCGGCCTTCACTCGAGTAATCATGTCGTTGTGTTTGTTTTGTTTTCAGGATTGGTGCTCCTGCTAGTCACTCCAATATTAGGCGCCCTCAAACCCCCTTCGCTGAAGACTACCACGACTACAACCACGACTACACCTAAGCCGGAGGAAGAGGTGAGCAGACCGGGGCGCCGGGTCACGACGCTGCTGCGGTCTCGAGGATAGTGTCACCAGCATCGAACACGTCGAAAACAACGCTGAAATATTGTCCCCGACGACAGGAGACCCGATGATACTACTTGAAGCATGCACTATTCATCTCAGAGTATAGTAGAGTCACGATAATGCAGTAGAGACGCAGAGTTGCCAAAGAGGGTAAAGGACGGTGGTGCGGCGGTGTGGTCATAACGACGTCTGGCTACCCTCCCCTCAACGCTTATATTGGTACCTGTCCGCCGTGACTCCCGGTGCGTGCGTGTGTGCGTGCGCGTCGGTGTAGGGCACGCCGTCCGAAAGAATGTTGGCCGCTGACGGAGTCTGTGTGTTGTGCTGAGCGTACCGATTCGTAGTCAAGGGCGCCGCCGCCGCCGCCGCGCTCAGCGCCGCTCAGATGATATGCCTGGCCGTGCTTTCCCCCGTCGCGTCGCTGCAGCGCTCTGACGTGAGGCCTATCGCTCACTTCTCTTCCGTCATCGTCGCGTCGGCCGCGCTGCCAAGGGCAACCAAAGAACACACACACACACTCCCCTCTGACTTCACACTCACTCATTTACTCTCTCTCTCTCTCCCTCTCTAAAACACACACAGAGGAGCGCACGCGTGAGAAAGAGGCGTGGCCAGCCTCCCACGACGAAAACGAGAGGTAATTTCATTTACTTTGTTTACGTACCGCAAGGCGGCGGCGCGTCTTCTTAAAGGCAGCTTCTCGGGCTAAACACTTTTCACAAACACCCACTCTCAGAGTGCAGTTCATTACTTTTGTTTGAAAAGTTTTCAAAGTTTTTATTGCGAGCCAAACTGACCCGAGTCGTTAGTTTTACGAGCGTGGTCCAGCGAGGAGCGTCGCGGTGGGTGCTGAGCGGTGCTGAGCGGTGGGTGAGCGGCGTTGAGCGGCAGCACTTAGCGCTGCTGAGGCTCGCAGAACTCATGCCGTCCCTCATGCTGAAGCAGACTGAATTGCGATTACACAGCTTCGCTGCCTGAAAGCTCATGGGCCTGCAATTACGTTAACGTAATCGAACTTCTTGTCACGCGTAGCAGCACCGATTAAAACAACACACAGTAACGAAATTAGAATGGTGACTTTCAGAGCGGCATCGACACCACCAAAACGAATTTTTAAATGTATATAACGTTGCTTTCAGAGAGCTAATAATGCTTTGTTTACACTTTTTATGTCGCATTATTGAGTTTTTATGTTCTCGTTAAGTTTATATTAGTCGGATTGTGAGTTTAACATAAACGCTTTTGCAGCCGACCACCACCCCGGCCCCCGCTTCCAACAAGTCGTCGCTGCTGACGGGGGTGCCGCAGGTGGACTACAAGCATGACCCCAACCTGCCCCGGGAGCTGAACGGCGCCGACCTCCGGGACTACCCGTTCTACTCCAGCGTCCCGGACAACATCACCTTCCCCTGCGATGGGCTCAAGGATGGCTTCTACGCCAGCCTCGAGCACAAGTGCCAGGTACGTGTGCAAGGGCGCAGGTGGTGACAATGATTCCGATGAAGGAAAGAGATAGAGCTAGACAGAGAGAGATAGGTGGGGTGGGGAGAGGGGGTGAGGGGGTGAGGGATCTCCCCCTGGTTCCCCCGGCGTCTCGCCATGACACGATGACCGTGTCGCGTCACTGATCACTCGCTCGAGTTGTCCCCGTCGTCTGTTGGGGTTAGATTATCGGCAAAGCGCTTCGTCAGTCTGTCTTCGGCGTCCATCGCGGCCGCCCGCTGCATGGTGGTAGTGCTCCTCCGGAGCTCGAGCGCCTCCGGGCGACATGGTGGCGCGGGGTCCGGGACGTCCGGGACCGCGTCCGGGACCAGGATGCTGGGCGCGGTGCTGCTCGTCCTCGTGCTGCAGCTCACGGCTGGCGGGCTGAGCGCCAAGCGCGCGGCCAGGCACAGAAAAGTAATATAACAACGGGGAAATTAAGTGTTTCGTTTTATCGGTTTCGTAAAGACGAGGATTTTGTGGATTCATGTAAATCGCAATGAACTGCACAAGAAATTGTACTTGGTGGAGTGATTGTGGCGATGCGAGGCTAAATAGCCGAATAGTCACCGCTCACATTGTGTTGCTTGCTGTGCCGTAGGTTTACCACCATTGCCTGTCTGGAATCCGCTACGACTTTCTGTGTGCCAACTACACCGCCTTTGACCAGCGGACCTTCATCTGCCACTTCGTCTCGGAGGTGGACTGTCAGAACTCGCCCAAGTGGTTCGACAGGTGAGCGCGGCGCCAGTCGCCCCCCGCGGGAGTGACTCGACCCTCCGCGGCCCTCGCTGACGCCTCGCTTTGTGTCCTCAGGAACGAGGCTCTGTACAAGGCGACGACCACCACGACGCTGGCGCCACCGCCGCTGCCGCCCAGGGCCATCTACGACCGGCTGCCGCCCTCAGCGGACGGCGGCGGTCCGCGTCGAGGAGCTGGTGGCGGCGCCGGCGGTGCCGCTGGAGGGGGACGCCGCCGCCGGCCGTACCGGAGGCGCCGGCCCGTGTACGAGTACTACTACGACGACGCGGAGTATGACGACGAGGAGTACTACGACGAGGAGCCTGCCGCGCCCTCCAGCACGACCCCAGCGGTAAGCACGCATGCCCGCCCAGCCAAAGAGCCCGCAAGCTCCGTCCGGTTCTCGTTTTCCTCCTGTTGTTCTCCTTTGCCGTGCGCAGGCCCCCCCGTCCAAGCTGCGACGCAGGAAGCGACCCCGGCCGGCGGCGGGCGCGGAGGGAGGCGCGGGCCACGACGCGCAGCACGCCGTTCAGGACACGGCGGAGAGCCAGCCCGGCCCGAAGGTCAGGGCACAGGGTGAGTCTCGTCCTCGTGCCCCTACCCGGAGACCGGAGACCCCCTCTGCCGCTTGCTCGCTCTCACCCGCCCTCTGATCTCGACCCTCCAGGTTCCACGTACACTCCCGGGCAGCGACCCCTGCCGAAGGTGCGTCGCCCCGTGCCCCTGAGCGAGCAGCCGTCCACCACCACGACCACGACTACGACGCCGGCGCCCTCCGCCGCGGGTGGCGACTACTACGACGACGAGGAGGAGGCACCGCCACCCAGGCACCAGGCGAGGCCCAAGGGCTCTAAGAGACAAGGAGGCAAGTTGGGTTCGGGACCCGGGCCACGGGAGGTGTTCTTGCACCTGCCCGGCGGAGGGCTACTAGTTGGGGTGTTTCAAAAAAAGGCGAGTTGACGATATTTTGGTGCTTGTTTATGTAATTCCACACCAACGCCATCTTTCCCGCCGTCGCCCGAAGCCGTCAATGAACGGGCCAGGGTCTGGGGCTGGGGCAGTCGAACTTTCAAACGCCATGCTCAGTGGGTAAACAGTTTCTTGAGGTCAGAAAGACGGCGTTGGCGTTGTGCTACCCAAACGCAACTAAATATCGACAATTTTAGGTCTTTTTCTACAGGACCGTGAAAGGTTGTTTTTCTTAAACTGGTCGCTTCTCTGCAGGCCGACGCCCCGATGACTCGGTCGAGTACGAAGACGACTACAGCGAGGAGCAGCCCAGGAGGCGTCCCAGGCCTGGCTCGTCCCGCCGCAGAAAGCCTGGGCAGCGCAGGCCGCCGCCGCCCCGCTACAAGGACGACGAGTACGAGGACGACAGCTACGAGGAGGAGGCGCGGCCTCCGCAGCGGCCGCACAAGCGCAAGCGCGTGCAGCAGGTACAGTGCACGACGTGGAGCTGGCGGAGCACGTCTCGCGGTCCCTTGTCGGTACTCACGGTCTCTTCCGCCGGCAGCACGACAGCAGCGAGGTGACGCCGGCGACGACGTCGACAACGACCACCACGACCACGACGACGCCACCACCACCGCCGCCACCCAAACCCAGGCCAAAGCCGCCGAGGAAGCCGTCGGTGCCGTCCACGACCACAACGCAGGCCCCGCTGTCCGAGGAGGACGTGGAATACTACGATGACGAGGAGTACCTTCCGGAGCCGGTAACGCCCAGGACTACGCCAACGCACCGGTCGACGCGGCCGCGCGCGCCACCGCCGTCCAGCACCACGACGACGACCACGCCGGCGCCGCCGCGGAGCACGACGGCCGACGACGTGATCCAGGCGCCGCGGTCGGGGCGGCGACCCTTCCTGCCGTCCCGTGGCGGCAACCCCGTGCTGCCCCGCGGCCTGCAGCCACTCGGCGCCAAGGCCAAGCCCGCGCCCACCACGCCCGCGCCACCGCAGCACCAGCACCAGGACGACTACGACGAGCGGCCGGTGGTGCAGGCCCCGCGGCCCAGCCCCCAGCGGACGTCCGCGCAGCGACCGCTGCTCGACCCCACCGAGGTGAGTGTGAGTGCGAGAGAGCGCCGGCCGGGTAGGCAACCACGCGTCCCGGCGCGCACGGTCGTGTAACAGGACTGCCTACCTCCCAGGCGCCGACCATAAAAAAAAAACATCCTCGCGCCTTTCCTTCTGCTTGTTGCGCGCTTCCGCCGCGCGTTTCCCCTTCTCTCTCGCTCTCTCACACGTGTGGGCCGGCGCCGGCGGCCACACAACTTGCTCTGCGTACCGGAAACAACTCTCACGGAGGGAACGGCACCAAGCGCCCAGCCGGCCGCCTGCCGGGCCCCGCCCGTAGCGCCGCTGCCGCTGCCACCGCCACCTCCACCTCCACCTCCCGGGCACGATGGGCTGCCGAACCAGCGCGGGGTCTGACCTTTGACCCCCTCTGCCCGCAGGTGATCGAGCCCGTGACGTACCGTGCGCAGGTGCCCCCCACGGCTCTGGACAGCTCCGGCTACCGGTCGCGGGTGGCGGGTTCCTCTGTGCTCTCGTACCCCACGACCAGCAAGCCTGGGAGCCCCGCCAGCAGGTACCAGGTCAGCAAGACCACGCCGCCGCCCAGCAACCACGTCGACGACTACCCCAAGGACGACCCGGAGGTGGGTTTGAGCCGGCGACGGCATTTCTACGTGAACAGATTCCCCGTTCAAGACTGAGGTGTAGAAGTCAACCGCCCGCATCGCCAGTCAGCCGATCAACCTGTCAATCAGACTTTTCCCCCCACCGCCGTCGTTGGCCCTTCTCCTGGAATCGGAAACGCCCCTCTAGTTCCGAAAGCGAAAGTGTAGCCGCGCGATGGCTGGCTGCCTTGGCACTGTGGAGTGGAATGTGTTTGGCAATATCGATCTCCTTTAATTCTCTTTTTTTGCCCCGTCACTTCCCACGGTCGGCGGGGCGGGGCAGTCGCTGTTATGCCGAAAATGACTCGGCGTAATGACTTTGGGACGGGAAGCAAGGAGCTTTTGTCACGGAAGGAATGAGCGAGCGGTCGGACGGGACGCGCCAGCTCATTTCGATTGTTGTTTGTTTATTATTGTATAAAAGCCATAAAAGCGCACGCTGCTGCTGCCTGTTGGTGTTGTTCCTGACGGCCTGCCCCGCGTGTGTGCTTGCAGGACTACGACGACTCGCTGAACGACGCGCTCCACCCGCCGCTCGCGCCGCTGTCCTCGCTCGCACCGCACCACCACGTCCCGTACCGGCAGCTGCGCTCGCACGCCTCCAAGGCGGCGCGCAACGGCGAGCAGCAG